ACTGAGTTTTTGTCCACTGGATAGAATAGAAAAATGTTTATTATAAAAGTAGAATTTTCTGTTGTCATATCTTTTCATTTCTTTGGATGCTTTTTAGCTTAAAGCTTTTCTCCAGATTAAAAATTTTTTTTTCCCAGTTCTAAATACACCTTTCTGTTGCAGAAAATTTAGAAATGTAGAAAACATGAAGAAAATTAAATGCCTTCTGATCCTCCAACCACAAATAACCATAGTAAGCACTTTGGGGCAAAGTTGTAAAATATTTTATTTTTGTATATGTACTTTTGTTCCCTTAATAGTCCACATCACAAGTATATACTCTTGCCTGCTTTTTGCCCGTGGATTACGAATGTGTACTTAGGACAGGAGTCCTGCTATAGATGCAGTTTTATACAGAAGTGTATTTTATGTAGTTTTTCTTAAAATGGTAACCGAATGGGAAGGGGGACTATATGAAGTCTTAAGTCAGCAAAGGCAACCCTTAGCGAAGCTAATTATCATCTAGCTGCATTACTTAACAGTGATTTAACTTGGTGGAGGGATAGCGTTTAGAAGCCCCGAGGAAGGGCTGATAGCTTTCTTGGCTCTCTCAGATTTCAGTTGTCTTATCTGTGCCTTTAGCTAGAGTTGGTTATCGGTCCACTGAAACTTGAGCTAGCTGGCGAGGGCCTCTGCAAACGTTCTGTGGTTTCAATCAAGTGAGAGCTCTTTGCTCCCGGTAACAAACGTGTCAGTGGCAAGGTTGACATTTGCTTATGAAAATTAAGGAACTGGACCTGGTTCTCTCACGGAAGGAGGGCCAGCCTGCTGCTTGAGCAGCGTGCTTCCTTCACTTCTTAGCCATTATTACAGCCCCCCCCCCCCCCCCCCCCCCCCCCCGTTCCCCCAGGATGGTGAATCATGATCTCTGTTCCAGAAGCCTTTAACCGGATGACGCTCTTGAAGCCAAAGGCACCCTAAGTGAAAACGGTCATCATTTCTTAAGATTGGAGGATTGATTTACAGAAATTCGTTCTGAGAGATTTCCCTCAAACTGCCAGTCATTTAGACAGAAAAGGGCAGCTTGAGGTTTTTGCCTGGGTTACCTAAAAAGGAAAAGATAATAATTGGGTGGAGTTGCCATAAAACTGCAGAGAGGCTTTTAAGGATGGTTTGAGGTTAGATTGTCTGTTTTTAAAATTAATTGGCTTCTCTTCTTAGACAAATTACACCATTTCAAGTCACAGTGCGGGCATTAATCGCCTGGGTGCCGGTTGTACCATCGGCACTTTCTCTGCCTGCTCTGTCCGCGGGGGCACGGGCGCTGCGGGCCCGGACCGGGAGGGGTTTCCATCCTCAGTCTCCTACAAAGGATTCCAGCATTAAGAAGTGAAAAAACTTTTAAAAGTTGAAGTCTCCTTAGACTTATACCCTGATGTTGTCTGAGATTGACAGCAAAACGGAATTCTAATAGCTGGCTTGAGTGTCAGGTTTTCAGCCAGCAACGTGAGAAGCAGCATTTTCCACAGCGCCTCCGCGCTGGCGTGTGATCCTGTGACGGGCTGTCCCGGGTCCATCCCACGCTCCCTTGTGTCCTTCATTTTCTCTTTCACCGTCTTATTTGCAAACTGCTGTCTTCCCCAGTAAGTCACCCTTCTGTTATGCTTACTGCGTGCCAGGCCGACGTCTGAGCACTTGAGATAGAAGGGTCCATCTGACCCTCACAACAGCCCTATTAAGGTAGGTGCCATTATTACCCCATCCCCCAGCCTGCAGATAAGGAAAGGGAGGCACAGGGTGGCTCACCCAAAGTGGGGCCAGGACCATCACCCCACAAGCCTGATTCCGGAGCCTGTCCTTTTAGCCGTGACACAGCGTGTTGTGTCTTGAGTAGGTTATTCTTTTGAAGGCGGATGTTGTCTTACTCATCCCATGTCTCAATATCATGGTGCTTTAATATCTTAACAGCTTCTGAGCTCACCCGACCCCAGTACTTTAGTACTTACTGGTTTGAACTTGGTCTGTTTTATTAATCACATTTTAGTTCAGAAGCAGTTGGGTAGAAGCTGAAGTTAGGTTGATTTTATTCACTATCCGTGTGTAATCAGTTATGAGATAATGCAGACTCTTTAGCTTTAAACTACATTTCAGAGGGACCATGGACGGTAGTATATTTGAACTCCAGCAGGCCTGTGAATTTTACCTCTTGTTTTCTGGTTGGGTCTGATTAAGTCCGGTTCTTCATGTAGGAATGGCAGGAAGTGGTAGAGTGTTATGGAAAGTGATTAGAAACTCACTTGGAGGTGTCTCAGAGACAGAAATGGTTTCTGCTCTTTTCCGCGTGGAGGTGTGCTCACACTTGCACACACACACACACACACACACACACACACAGCACTTTAAGTCACTTTTTTTAATGCAAGTGAGCAGGATTTATTGACTTGTTATATGCCAACCACTGAAATTATTTACTTTTTCAAGTAATTGATATGACTCCCAAACAAAAATCATTTCTCTTAGAGGAAGGAATCAGAGGCTCCTTGCCCTGGATGGTGGTCCTCTTAGTACATCTTCATTGTCACCCACCTCCTGGGGCTGGGAAGTCATCTCCCCTCTAGATTACCACGTCAGAAGGGTGTCTTTCAGTTATTATACATTCTGTGTAGACTGTGGTTCATTCTCATGCTTAGAATTTTTTTTTTAATGTTTATTTATTTTTGGGGGGAGGGAGGGAGGGAGAATGAACGGGGGAAGGGCAGACAGGGAGACACAGAATCCGAAGCAGGCTCCAGGCTCTGAGCTGTCAGCATAGAGCCCGATGCAGGGCTCGAACCTGCAAACCATGAGATCATGACCTGAGCCAAAGCTGGACGCCCAACCGACTGAGCCACCCAGGCGCCCCCAGTTCATTCTCATTTTTAAATAGACTTATCTCTTTATGGAAACGGTTGGTTTCTCCTTAAATTAGTTGCTACATTCCTGCCATGTTTACTTTTCATCCATTCTTTTGGGTGCTTATCCTTTGTGAAAATGGGAGTACAGCATCTGTAGTCCCATCAGGTACCATATATGCTGAGTTTTGTAAATGGCATAAGACTCCATAGGTCCATTTTAAATCCACAGGCATTAAGGGAAAAACATTACTACGACTGTCTTACATCATTCTAAGATGCACATTTCCCCCCACATTTTAACATCTCTGAAACAGGATGCGTTTTACAGTTGCTGGCATCATGTGATTATGATTGGCACTGTTTTTTCCTTGTTATTGGCACAAAAAACAATTGTGTGTCTTACAGTCGACTTCCTAGCTTTGATGAAAAACGGTATGTATTTAATCCTTGGATTTTTTTGAGAAGCATGTTTGACAAGTTCATCGAATTCCTCTTCTGCTTGAATGAGAGAAATTTGAAGTCATTTTGTATTCCTTATATTTGGGTTAGGAGAAGAATTAAAAGCCAGTAATTGCTTTTTTAAGTAATTCATTGTAGATCATTTATAAAATTACAAAAATAATACTGTACTTTAGAGATTTAGTTTTGCAGATGAAAACATTCTGGAGATGCATGGTGGTGATGTTGAAGAACAATATGAATATGTTCAATGCCACTGAACAGTAGTACTTAAAAAATGGTTAAAATGGTAAATTTCAAGTTACATATATTTTAGCACAGTTAACCCTCCCCCCCCCAATAATATCCTGCTTATAAAAACTTTCCTTCATTTGAAGATACACAGAATAAAAAGAGAAAGCTCTTTATCCCCTTCTTAGTCCCTCCCCACTCCCCTACTTCTGTACCTCTCCTCTGGGGGTTGGTATATGTCTTTTACAAGAATTTCTCTCCCTAAGACCTTTCATGTAAGATGTGTGGTTTTCATTGACCCTTCAAGTTCACTTTTCACTATAATACATATGATTGTAATGGATAAGCAAAATAAAAATATATTGGAGAGAATATCACCTGGGAACAGACCTTTTTTGATCTGCTTCATTTATGTTCTGTTTATTGACTGCTTCATTTATGTTCTGCGATGTTTTTCCTAGAAGTAGTCTGTATAAATGCATATTTGTAGCTGGACCGCTTCAGCTCTTACTACATAAAATGAGGAAGGCATAAGGAAAGTTGGAACACGATGGCCTTAAATCAGTTGTGCAGGAGCAGGATTCTTTGTTTCCTTTTCGTTCATTTCTAATCTCTCCTCTGACAATGGGACGTGCAGTTACCCTTGGCACCCCCCGTCCAGGCTGCTGTGGCAGTTCCCACCCAGTGGCCCCAACCCTCTCCTCCACCCCCGAAGACCGTGGAATACTCAGCGTTCACCCGTTTCTGTGCCATCCCTTTCCTCTGCTGCATCCTGGGTCTGTATCTCATCCTTGACATTCACCCTGTCTCCAGGAAGCATTCTCTGCATTGTGTGTCTTGTTTGTGATCTTTCTGTGTGTTTGCTCTTGAAGGCTGTGTGCCTTTCAGAGCACTTGTTTTAATTCATAATAGTATGTACATTTGTGTGTGACTCCTTTGATAAACGTCTGTCTCTCCTGATGACTGCTCTATAAGTTGGCATCTGTGTTTTGTTCGCCCTGCATCCCCTGGCTTAGCACATACTTGGCATTGATATGCATCCAAAGAAACTTTGCTGAATGAAGAATTTGATTTTTAATTGTCTTCTGGAGTGGAGGAGTTTGTAGGTGGAGGGTTGATAGTATCAGAAAATTAACCTGGGTGTTGAAACCTTGGTGTCCCGGCAATTTGGTTTTCAGCCACAGCTTAAAACTTAGTTATCCCGGAAATATTTTAACACTTCATTAATCTCTTTTTGGTGGGATTCTTTTGAAAATGAACTTGGGCCTTGCAATACCCCATAGCCTGGACTTCTGTTAAGGGGAAGCAAGCAGATCAGGTAGCTTTTTATCATTCCTTCTGAACACACAGTGCTTCAACATGAGTAGATCTGTGGATTTCTGGAAATGAGAAGCTTGAAATAAACTGTTCTCTCACTGATGCTTATTTTAATTCCAGAACATGGTCCAAGACAATTCCTGGGAAAGTCGAATTCTTCTCTAGTGAGGGTTCAGACACCTCGATACCAATTCCGATAGTGCCACTACGGGGCGTGGACGACTCCTACCCACCCCAGAAGAAGTCTTTCATGATGCTCAAGTACATGCATGACCACTACCTGGACAAGTATGAATGGTTTATGAGAGCAGATGATGACGTGTATATCAAAGGAGACCGTCTGGAGAATTTTCTGAGGAGTTTGAATAGCAGTGAGCCCCTCTTTCTCGGGCAGACAGGACTGGGCACCACGGAAGAGATGGGGAAACTGGCCCTGGAACCCGGTGAGAACTTCTGCATGGGGGGGCCCGGTGTGATCATGAGCCGGGAGGTTCTCCGGAGAATGGTGCCGCACATTGGAAAGTGTCTCCGGGAAATGTACACGACTCACGAGGACGTGGAGGTGGGAAGATGTGTCCGGAGGTTTGCGGGGGTGCAGTGTGTCTGGTCTTATGAGGTAAGAACAGAAGAAAAAAAAAACCGGTTAATTTCATCATCAGTTATGCGCCAATTGCAGGAAACTAGTTGATGATACCTTCTCTAAGGCTTGAAGTTGGTATTAAGTTATTACACATTCTTACCTTAGTTTTTTAAATTTGAATTCCTTTTTAGTATCTTTCAGCCTTCATTTGTAGGACATACCTTCTATACTTTTGTCCTCATACCTTAGTTAATAAATCATGGCATTTGGAGCCCAAAGAAATGATACGTTTCACTGTAGGTCACCGTGATATTTTCACAGTTATCTGGAAAATTCATCTAATCTGAGTATTGCTGAATCTGTAGATGTGATTACAGTTGTATCAACTTTCCCTGTCCCTGTTCTCCCAAAGGCCTGACTTCTCTCATGTCGTTTGTTGACCCACACAGTATTGAAACTTAACGTGTTTAGAATTGATAAAATGAGTAATGATATTTTAAAAAAAGCCATTAGCATTTGGTTTTGCATTTATTTTAAACCTTGACATTTTAGACCTTTATTTGTAGTCTGTAAGTTTGCAGTAAGGTTGTTCCTTTGAGGATAGTGGGTAGGCAATCCCTGACTTATCTGGACACACAAATGCAATTTGTTGTAGGAAGTCTACTTGTAGATGTTTTCTCTTTAAATGCTCTCGAGAACATGAGTTAGCTTTTGACTTTTCTCTGTTTTTATTGGCAGATGTGCACCTCTTGCCTGCAGTTACAGGATCTGATATTAGTCAGAATGGAAAAAATTATTTAGGTTGTTGTTGTGTTTAAATTGATAAACTACTGATAGTTGTGATGAACAGAGGGAATTTCTAGACCTCTGCCCAAGAAAAAGAAACCTACTTTCTGATGTGAACTGTTAGCTTTTGTTATGAGTTAATTTTCTCAAGGGCTTGAGTGAAGAAATTGTATTCCTGCCAGTACTTGCCTTCTGCCCCCAAGACTTGCTTTTAAAGGTTTCCTAATAACTGGTTCTTTCATTTGAACTGTTAGGGAAGTGGACATTTTCAAGAATACCGGAAGTAGTTTTCATGTTGTTTCTAATTATAAAAGGTACATTCAGATGTCATTTGAGTGAAACCTCTGATCTCTGTGTGTGTGTCCCCCC